ATAAACTTTTGGGAATAAACCCCTGAGAAAGTTATTCCACGAATAGACAAGAGCTGACAAAATCACTATCATTTGGAAGATGACAATAGAAGATATGGACGGCACACAGTCTTAAACGTGTTTATAATTATACTACCCTAGTCCAGGGGTTAAACCCAGGGGTTAATTCCTCCAAACCCTAAATCCTAAACCCGAAAAATGATCTACGCTAGATGCTGCATGTTGAATCCTCAAGTTAAACCTGTGGTGCTAACAACCCTAGAAACCCTGGAGCAATCCAGCAGCTGGACGCACCCGTCTCTCATACCTGTTGCAGTTGGTGCTGTTGGTGTAGACGATGACCTGCCACGTTCCAAGTTGCGAGGTTTTTTCAGGGGTGCTGAGGCTGTGGGGATTTGGGGGAAAGCAGTGCAACGAGCTATCAGAGTGCTGGCATCACTGTTTTGGATCTGACCTGGAACCTCATGCTAGGATGCCTCACCATGTAGGCTCCCGATATTCAACAGACTGGCCAAACTGCAGCAGTGACAGGGCCTTGGACCGAGCACTGTGATTCAGGACTGTATTAAATGGATCCAGCCTAAAAGCAGGCTTAGCCCAGACCACAGCGTTTGTGGAGCGGTCTGGGGGGTGCTCGCAGTTGTGCCGAAACCTGTTTAGGAAGATGCGAGGCTCACCAACGACGCTGGTCAACAGCTTCCAAGCCCTCGCTGCCTGCAGGGTAGGAAATTGTATGGTCTGTCTTGAACTGCACCACTTGGGCCTCACTCCCCCTGAGGTACATCCCGGCAGGCCCGAACAAGTATGTTTCACCTCTCCACTCATGTCCTGCGGCCACCCGTACGTGGTACTTGCCTTCGGCCAGCTGAGCTTTGGGACTCAGCTCAAAAGGACGACAAAACACCTTGGCCACGGCCTCAGGACGATCTTCGTTAGCAGCCTCAAGTCTGCAAATCTTGACAAAGATCGAGCGACTGTGCATGTTCTGAAAAGCGATGCTGGACATGCCACTAGGCTCCATCAATACGATGGCACTGGACTCTGGAAACTCCTGTGGGTCTGGTGTTCTATGCCAAGCCTCTTTGGGCCGCAAACGGGCGCCTTCTATTTGAGTCGCAATCTCAACCCGCTTGCTGTCAAGCTTGAAGGAGTAGGAAAGTGGCAAGCCTGGAACTACCATGGCAGTTGTGCTGCCATCATCTTCTGGAAATGCAAGCTCCCACTCGAGGATTTCTCCCGCCTCAAGCTTGTCCTTCCCACTCGTACGTGACAGTGTGAACTTGTTGCTGGCAGTTTCAAACGACACCTTGTGGGTAAAGGTCCCGAGCTCTTGCCCGGGTGTCTGGACAATCTGTTGGCGCGATGGCCCGATGTAGTCTTCGCCAGTTGTGCAATCTTGCATCTCCACCATCTGGGTCTCGTCGACAACCTTGACACGAACAATGCTCACCCTGCCATGGATTGTGCCAGGCCACCAAGAGCGGGTGCCCTCGAAGTCCCAAACCATGCTTGCTATGTCGTTTGTTTTCCAAACCAGCTGCGAGGCCTCCTCCTTGTCCTCCCGCTCCTTGCGCTCCTTGTCCTCTCGCTCCCTGCGCTCCAAAGCAGCCTGCAAGGCAGCTTGTTTCAACAAGAGATCCTCAGTCTTCTCCTTGACCATCTCAAGGGCACGCTCAAGAGCGGCGGTGCGAGCGGTGTCGATCCATGCAGAGAAGTCGGAACGGCTCATGGAGAGGTCAATGTGGGCCGTGTCCACAGCGCTGAGTGAAGTCGGATATCCACCACCCTGCATTCTGCGGAACAGGTCTGGAGGCTCTCACTAGCACTAGCTGGAAGCTTTCTCGCAGCTGCGGTCAACATGCCTTTTTCAGCCCATGGTCATGTGGTAGCATGTTATGGCGTAGAAATTTTCTCTCAATTTTCCTCTGTATCTTACATGACAGCTGTCCTTGATCGATGCTTAAGGAGCATGTCAGCGCTGTGCCACATCAGAATCTTGACTGATTACAACCCCCCAATAATCAAGTCGGGCGCACATTCTCAGGCTTGGGGCTGCCAGTGTAGCCAGCCAGCCAGCGACAAGAGCCACAGCATTATTGATGCATCGAGTAGGCTGATCATCTCCCATTTCATGTAGCAATGGTCGTTGTATTCACGATGAGATTCTGGATGGGGTTGATGGTTGAAGTTTGGATCGTCTTCAGAATCTTTGAATGGTGAAGCAGCTGGAAAATGGAGAGTTGGGGGGGGGGGGGGGGGGG